GATGGTTAACGCCAGGAAAGGAGGCTGCAGGTCCAGCTTGCTGTGTCTGCATTCTGGGGGTTTCAGGAGCCAGCTTCCCCCTTGCTACATCAGCCCTTATTCCCAGCCCTGCTGCAAGCGGGTTACAGGGACCAAAAGGTCACCTGCCACCTCTCCTGCTTGACTTTGGTGCTTTGTTAGTGGTTAAGACTGATGCTTTCCAGCTGGGTACTGAGGTTTGAGTGTGGTCACAGGCTTTACATGGAGATAAGGCTGAGCAGTGGCCGGAGGGGAACTGAACAGTCTCAGTATTCCCTGGTTGTGGTTTTCCTTTGCCTCATCCAAGCCCAGGGAGACATCCTGGCTCCTTCTTCGCCTCGTGATGGGGTGTTTTTTTCTCTCAGAAAAACTCAGTGCAGAAACCGAGGGCTCCAACTGGCTGTGTCCGTTTGGCATGATGAGCCCTTTGTGTTTGTTTCTTCCTGCCTGGAGCAGGGACACAGTGAGAGCAGCAGGGAAGAGGGATGGTACTGAAGATGCATGAAAAAGAGCAAGGAATTGGTGTGGAACAGCAGGAGATGTAGGGGAGTATTTACCTGCTGCTTTCTGTATGCTGCAAGATTGGCACTCTGCTCGGAAAGAAATGAGCTTTTCCTTGCTCCTCCAGCGTGGTGCTGGGTCACTGCTGGAGATCAGAGGCTTTCCTCTGAAGATGAGCAGGTTTTGTCTGACCAAGCTGTGGCAGCATCCCAGGGGCATCCCGGAGTGGGGAATTGCCCCGGGTCTCAGAGGTAACATCTCTGTGAACCATCTGAACTGCTGCCTGCCCCATTCTCAATTGAGGGTGTTGCTCATGTCAAAGTCCTGCCTGAAGTGTCTGGGCCAGGGAAGCACTTGGCTCTGCCTCTTGTTCCTGCCCCTCTCCCAGAGCAGGCAGCTGCAGACATCGAGGCCTTCCTTGATTTATTTTCCCCACTCCATAAATCCCATTTTCAGAGCAGGTGCCTGCTCTGTCTTACATCATTTGCAGCAGTGAAATCACTCTGTCCCTGCCCAAAATAAATGAGAGGGAGGATGGTAGAAAGCTAGTTTATTAATTTAAGAACTGCATTGGAAGCAGGGGGAATACTTTGCTCTCTTGCTAAGTTTACAGAGTTTTGGGGACACCTGGAAGTACTTGAATTGCATCAGTTTGGATAGAAAAAGAATGTCTGTTGACTCTGGAGTTGAGTTAGGACCAACAATTAACAAGACAAATGACTCCCTTCCTTTCCCATTGTAACTGTGTGCCTCTTGTCAAGCTGATCTATTCCAAAACTGGTTTGAGTTTCTCCCCTATCAGGAAACTGTCACCAGCTGGTCCTATAGATTCTAAACAGATTCTGTTTTGACATGGCTTTGCCTATGGGCTGAGAAACGAAAGGGAGGAGCGTTGCTCTGAGGAGTGCTGCGTACCCTCAGGCAGGGAGAAGGACATAGGTGATGCTGGTTCTATCTCTTCCTTTCCTATGTTTTATTGTTGTTTAGCATCCTCTTTGCTTCTCCCTAAGCACCATCCCCTTTGCCTGCTCCTAACAGCTAAGGTGTTGGGGCTGGGATTGCTTCCAGACCTGTGTCCTGTGGCTGTACTCCAGGGCCTGCAGCCCGTGTGTGGGTCCCACGAGGAGGCTCCTGGCTGTGGGTTTGACACTGGCAGCTCTGTGGTTCCTAACAAGCTGTGGGTTGGGTTAATGACCATGCCAAGCATTTAGGTCCATGCTGGCATTGTGCCGCAGCTGAGCTTTGAGGAGGTGCAGCCTCTGCTGCTGCTTTCCTAGGGAGAAAAATCCCATTGGAGCGATGGATGCAAAGGAGGCAGCGCCCAACCTTGTGGCACCATTCCCAGAGGATGCTGTGCCCACACCCCAGCTCTGTGCTGGCTCCAAGGAGGTGCCTTTGTGATCATAATGCACCAGGGTTTTGCACTAGCTCTGGTGCAAAGCAGCACGACTCTTTGCATGTACAGAGCACATCCTATAATGGCACAGTGCAAATGCCATCTCACTGGTGCTTTTCAGCTTCATAAAGTGAGTCTTTATGGAGGGGAGCCCGTGTGTTCCATCATCATGGGACTGCAGGACAGCAGGCTGCCACCTGGGAACAAAACACAACATCAAACGGTGATTTTCCAGCCCTTGGGGTTGTGCAGGTAACCTAAAAATACAACTGGAATGTCACTGGGTGGTGACATCCTCCTGGAGCTGCTGGCACAGCCCTGTCAGTGTTATCTGGCTGCTGCATGGAGCCCGGGTGTGGCCTCTGCTTGGTGGTGGTTTTGGCTAATGTGCCCTCCCCAAACCCCTCGCTGGGTACCAGCAGGTCCCATCCTTTACCCTTGCATCAGTCTTCCCCCTCGCCCAGCCCCAGTGGCACCATCGGTGTGACATCCTGCTGCACTGGAGATGAGCCCTGCTCGGTACTGGTGATTGATTGTCCCCAAGCAGCATCCAAGGGATGAGAAAGGTGACCCTGTTCCCTTCCCGATCGGATTCGGTTCAAAGGGTTGGTTTAAATACAGAGCTGCTGCAGGTTCCAGGCTGCATGGCTCGGACATGTGGGGCTTTCCCATGGGGTGTGCACCTTGTAAGCAGAACAGCAAGTGCCTTGCAGGCTTGGGGCAAGTGGATGTGGTACGGCCTTGTCCAGGGAAACTGCTGCAATTCCCAGTTGGACAGTGACGTGTAGTGGGCACTGTGCAGCGTGGTGCTGGGATTCAGTGGCCAGCCACTGCAGGGACTTTGATCAGAGGGAGATCCCCCCCTTTCCCCTGGTGAGGCAGTGGCTCTTCTTTTGGGGCTGGTGAAGCCATTAAGTTTTTACTCAATCCCAAACACACCCCTACAAAAAGCTCCTTTCTGACCCTAAATGGGACGTTCCACTCCACTGCTCATGACAGAGCAGCTCTTACCTGGTTCCCAACCCAGCCTTAACCAAACTGGCCTTGGGAGATGCTGCCCGTGTGCAGGGGAAGGGTGGGGAGAGGGGCCCAATTGCTGTTTTTGAGGATGTGCTCTTCCACTCATTCAAGCCAGCTTGCTGGGAGTGATGGGAGCCATCCTCATGCCTGCCTTTGCCCTGCTGGACCTGGAGCTGCAGTGAGTGCCTTGACTTCTCCCCATGGCAGGATTTGCTCCCCTGGCTTCCCTTGCCTGTCATGGGGTGATGTCCCAGCATTTAGGCGTGGGGAGGTTTCGTTAACATCAGTGAAACACCTGATGCTTTTTGATCCTGTGGGATTACCTGGAACGAAGAAAGGGCTGGATGATTAATGGCAAATGGTGTGCATCTTTCAAGGCACTGGCAATTCCTGCCACGTCTTGAAAGAGCTGCCAATGGTGAGACTTTTGAAAGGATGTTTTGGTTTTTTTTTTTTTTTCCCTTTTGTTTTGGGTTCTGTGTTTGCTTTTTAAGATGCTTTTGAGATGTCAGGAAGCTCTGCTCGACACCACCCCTGCTCCTCGGGCGCTGAAACCCAACAGGACTAATTCAAAGGAAATGGTGCTTCCCGTCCCACCTGCTGGGTTAGGGACTTTCTGCTTCCAAACAGCACTGACATGGTGGATGTCTCTAAAGATCCTTGGAGCATTTTATGTCTGGCTCAGGGAATTAGAGAGTTAACGCCAAGAGGACAGTGCAGCATCGTGCCGGGGATGGATGCTTCGTGCTGTCTGCAATCGCAGCTCCTGCGTCAGCATCCTTTATGTGCTGATGATCTGTGCCTGAAACTATACCCTGGGAGTGGGAATGTGCCTGAGAAAATATCTTCCGCAGTCCTTCTGGGCCTTCTATAAACACTATTTAAAATTAGAGTCACTCATTATGTTGGTATGTGCGTTTACCTTGACCTCTGACTTTTCTGCCTGCAAATGTGTATGGCCTGGTACAGCCTGCAAGTTAGGGAATAGCTCAGGAGCAACACAAAGGCGTATTTTCTGTAATGAGTTTAAGGTAAAGCAGCTGGTCCAGTATCTCCCCTCCAGGCTGAGAGGGAAATCAAACACCAAACTGCAGCTTGTCAAAGCTGAGCCTGGCTTTGATCAGGAATGTCAGTGCTGGGCTGGTTTTGAGGGAAAGGGGAAGAGCAACGATACTTTGCCACAGCTTTTCTTGCACATGTTAGCAGAGAAAGGAATGGTTTTCCTTTTCCACACCTTCATATGTCTCCTTTGCTATTCCCCAGCCAAATCCATGCAGCAATTTATACTTTGCCACCAGAGATGCCGTCTCAGTTGTCACCCGGGAATAGCTGCAAAGCTCCGTGCTGGTATTGTCATGGAACAATATTTCTGCTATTTGTTGTGGTAATAGTTGTCAGTGGCAAAGCAATTACCCTGTCACCTGCAGCACAAAGAGATGTGACCTCTTTCTCTCCTGCCACCCTGTCTGTGTCCAAACCCAGCGCGTGTGGGCTTCCCTCTGCTCTGATGAGCTGGGATGCTTGGTGGTGGCAGGGCTGTCCTGAAGCATGGGGCGCTCCGGTGGGATGCATGGGGAAGGGGATGGCGGAGGCAGGAGTGGGCTCTGCCTGCAGGCTGGGTTGGAGTGATTGGGTTATTGGATGAGAAGGCATCCCACCGGGATGCACTGTAGCAATCCAGCGCTTCAGTGGCTCCCGGAGCTGGAGCTGGCTCCCCCCCAGTTTCCTGTTGACGTCATCTGCTATTTCATTGCTGCAGTTTTTACAACTGTTGAGCTTTCAAGGGTAACCGGAGCCCAGAGCCCGGCCAGGCTCCGACAGGGAACACGGCGCTGCCTGCCCTGTGTCCCCCCGCTCGCCTTCGCCGCTGCTCCCGGCCTCACGGACCCCCAGGATCCAGGGATACCGGGCAAGGAGCACCCCGTGAAGCCGCCGAGCGCTTCAGGCCATGCATTCCCACTAAAATATCACAGTCGGTGCTTGCAAGAAGGGCTGTGTGCTGGATCCTGTGGGATTTCTTTATCCCTCCCTCCTCCATTCCGCCCTCATCCCTCTCTTTTGCCAGGCGTGCCGGCGCTTTCTTCATTTCTGGGAAACCATGGACAAGAAGCAAGGTAGATGTTGCAATTTCCAAAACACGTGGTGGGGGAGAGTGAAGGGCTGATTCTGCTGCTAGCAGGGGCTGTGTGGCTTTTTGGGCTCAATCAATGTGGTTTTAGCTTCTTTCTCCTCGCTCGGGCAGGGGGTCAGTGTTTGCAGCCAGGGATCTATTTTTAAAGCACTGGAAACTTGCATGTTTTGTGTGGGGTAGAACATTGGCATCTTAATTGTGAACACAATAAAATGTAGCATGGCTAAAGGAAAGTATTTGGAGGGTAAAGCTAGCTCCTGGCTCCAGTTTTGGCTGCATTCCTGGGACACAAGGGGTTTCCAGCAGCTCTTGCATGGTCGTCCCTTGCTATAAAGCCTGTTGCATGGGAAAGGCGAGTGCCCATGGTGGCCGGGGCAGTTGGGAGCTCTGATTCAGCGTGTGCTGACAGGTCGCTTTGGGGCTGCAAGGGGCTTTTTGTGGAGCGTGGTTTTTTCCTCCTCCTTGCTCACTTCTTTTGCAGAAGTGCCGTGCACGGGGCGGTGGTGACCTGCAGGAACCCCCCTCTGCAGTGGGACCGCGGCGCGCCGATGAGTGATGGCTCTCAGCAGGTTGAGAGCCCTTTTTCCACTTCCACAGATAGCTTTTTCCACTCTCAACAATGGAAAACAGCACAACGTGTGCCTGTGAGGAGCTGGCTCTCATGACCCGAGCAACCGAATTCCCCTCTGCTTTGCACTCTGCCTCAAATGCCTTTTTTTCCCTGATGCTTTTTTGTTCCAGCTCTTTCTTTGCAGCAGGGCTGGGATCCACCCTCCTGCCCCATCCCTGGCATTTAACTGTTTTCTTCGGATTAAGGCAAACCGGGATGAATCCCAAACATCCTCCCCAGCACTAACAAAGCAGCGCAGCTCTGGAAGCAGCCTCCTGTGCTGCAGCCATCCCCAGGACTTCACTCTGGCGCTGGCACCAGAGCCTTGGGGAGGCAGTGGAGAGGTTTCATTTCAAAGGTCGACTCAGGCAAATAGTTTTATTTGCAGTTCTTTAGATTGTCCTGTTCCTTTCTTCCCACCCACGCCAGCAAAGTGGGAAGGATAAACCTCATGGGGAGAGGTGCAGCTTCATAGGACTGAAGTTGGCAGTGGCAAAGACGAGGATTCAGATTGAATTGAGCAGTTCCAGGAAATCTGCGTGTCAGTTTTGAGCTGCTTTGAGGTTATAGCATGAGGAAAGAAAAAGAATTGTTAAGCTGGTTTTTTTTTCTCTTTAGGAGGAAATGGTTCCTTTCTTAGCATAAAGGATGCAGTTACGTGCCTGCAGCATCACGTGGGTTACAATCTCGGCCGCACCAGGAACTTCTGTCAGCTAATTTTCCCCTGCCCGGGTGCAAGGCGCTGTGCCCCCACGACCAGCAGCCCCTTCCGCTGCCTGGAATGCTGCCCCAGCAGCTCCCAGCTATCCCATGAGCTCAGGGCTGGCAGCACAGCCCTGGGGCTTGCAGGAATAACCGGGATATGTCCCCATATTGCTCTGTCCTGCTGCTGTTCTTTGTCCCCACATGGAGGGATCTCTAAAGGGGAGCTGTGTTGCTCTGTGCTTGCAGCCACCCCCTTTGCAAGAAACTGGAGTGTTTCTAGGATTTTCAGCTGACACAAACCATCCTTCACCTCCTCCTGCACTGACCCTACTGGGATCCCAAATGTGGGAGAGGTGGTGCTGAGTCCCAGGCGTGGGAGAGATGGTGCTGAGGCCTCACTGCTGAGAAGGAGCTGACAGCAGCTGCCTGCGGGGGCTAAAAGCAAATGCTGCCCTGGGATGTGCTTGGGACTGAAGGGCTTGGATTGCAAGGGCTTGTCGTGCCCATCCCACTGCTTCCTGCAGGCAGCAGAAGCTCGCAGTAGGGAGCAGGAATTTGGACCAGCCTGCAGTGTGCTGGAAAACTTCGGGCAGATTTTGGGAGAGCTGAAGCAGTCTCTGCATTAGCTCCCCCCATTGCGGGGCAGCATCGTGGGTGATTTTATTCCTGCAGGCATGGGCTGAGCTGGATTTTCCACTGGTGTGGGTGGCCTAGCCAGAGCCTGGGAGTGGTGACAGGATGCCTCCTGTTTAATCTGTGCTTTTCCAGGTTGGAGCTAGGAAACACTTCTGGGGGCTCAGCAGGATGGAGTGGGAAGGGGATCTTCACTGACCCTGTCTGGAAGTCAAGGACAGCAGTTTGAGGATGCAGGGAAGTGGAATGATGTGCAGGGTCCCTGTTACAGCAGAGATGACCAGTGCACAGAGGCATTAAATGACTGCAGCGGGTGTACAACAGGGAATCCCCATGTCCCTGCTGCCCCTCTAAACCCGTGCTTGCAAATCCTGCTTGGATTTGGAGCTTGGCCTCCACTGAACAACATGTCCCATTGATTCCCGACCCCGGGCTGCGTGCTCCCAGCTCCCTCGGGCGCAGCTCTCGCAGCCAGGGCTGAGGAAGGGCTGACACTGCAGGATGCTTGGCTGAGGAGCAAGTGGACCCTGGTCCTGCTGCGTGAGTCACTGCGCTGCCAGCCGAGCCGGTGGCACAGAAGGGGCTTTGTGCCTCCTGTGTGGAGTTACTATAGCGATTGGGGAGAGGGAGAGCAAACAGATGAAGCATTTCAGGGGGCATTTGAGGGCTTCTTGTAGAGCTCTGGCTGGTCGCTGCCTGGGGATGCTGTGTGCAAACTGCTGTCTGCATTTCAGAGCAGGTCGTGGGGGAGAAGCACTTGGTGCAAAGCTCCTGGTCACCAGTGAGCTGAATCTATCCCTCTGGATGGGATGGGATGTGTGCCCATGGTGAGCTCCCAAACTTGGCTGGGTGTGGAAGAACTCTGAGAACCCCAGTTTTCAGGTTCTGTGGTCAGCCTCCCACACTGAGTAGCAAGGAGCTGGGTGTGGGAAGGGGAGGCATTTCTGAACCTATGGATGGCATCTTTTCTTCGGCTCCGTTTTGCGTTTGCTCCTGTTGTTGCTCAACCAGGTGTTTTGCAAAGTGTCATCTATGGACATGCTGGGCTATCGATAGTCCCTCTTCCAGCCCTGCTGGGTGGGGAGATGGGGATGGGAACCTTTCCAGGCTCATGAATTAGAAGCTGGGGCATGGTCAGGTATCCAGAGGTGGTTTCCAGCCAAGCAGGATCAGTTTGGGGTAGAGTGGCTCGCTGCCTGGTTTCATTGAGCTGGAAGTTCTCGTTGCTCCCATAGCTCATGGGAACTGCGTTGGTCCCAGGCCTTATGGGCTGCCTCTGGTGCCAGAAAGGTGGCAGATAAGATGGGGGTATGGGCTGATCCATGCTGATTGCCTTAGCAGGGAGGGATGCTGCTGGTCCCACAGTTGGACCCTTTGCAGTGATTTGCAGATCAGCTTTCACCTGCAGCCTCAGCAAGGTTTGAATTTGGGGAGGACAGGACTGGAAAAGTGGGTTTCAGGCACCCTCTGGAACTGGTGGGGAAACAGGGATGGGGACGGGGGCTGTCTGTTCTGGGAATGTGTTGGATACATATCATCCTTCCGTCTCACTGCTGCTGCAT